TCCCCAGAGCCTTCTCTTCTCCAGGCTGAACAACTCCAATTCTCTCAGCCTGTCTTCATAGGAGAGGTGCTCCAGCCCTCGGATCATCTTTGCGGCCCTCCTCTCCTCCTCTGGACCTGCTCCAGCAGCTCCATGTCCTCATGTTGGAGACCCCAGAGCTAAATGCAATACTCCAGATAGGGTCTCAGGAGAGCAGAGTAGAAGGGTGGAATCTCCTTCCTCGACCTGCTGGCCATGCTTCTTTGGATGCAGCCCAGGACACGGTTGGCTTTCTGGGCTACAGGTGCACATTGCCGGCTCATGCTGAGCTTCTCATCAACCAACACCTCCAAGTCCTTTTCCTCAGGGCTGCTCTCAATCCATTCTCTGCCCAGCCTGTACTTGTGCTTGGGATTGCCCCAACCCATGTGCAGGACCTTGTACTTGGCCTTGTTGAACTTCACGAGGTTTGCTCAGGCCCTCCTCTCAAGGTGCCTCTGTCCTTTCTCTCCAGTATGCCCACCACACCACACAGCTTGGTGTTGTTGGCAAACATGATGAGGGTGCACTACACAGTCTGTGTCGCTGAGAAAGATGTTAACCAGCTCTGGCCCCAGTACTGACCCCTGAGGGACACCACTCATCACTGGTCTCCACTTGGACATCAAGCTGTGGACCACAACTCTTTGACTGTGACCATCCAGCCAATTCCTTATCCACCAAGTGGTCCATCTGTCAAATCCCAATCAGGCCAAACTACTCACTCTCTAGCACTTTATAGACAAGAAATCTGTACTAGTCATGACAAAAAGTAATGTTTCATGTACGTTTTTGAGAGTTCTTTTGAGATGAACAGAGATGATCATTCTGCCATGTTAGAAAACTATGGAATTCTTCTGTCAAAAGAAACTGCAAAATTTTAGCATCATAAAAATCTTATCTTATAAACAGCCAGGCAGTGTAAGCACAATAGTGGTACGGTTGGAGAATTTTTCCACTAGCGAAAGTGCTGATGTAAATAAATGAGAATATTAATTACAATAAAAAAACCCAAACAATAGAAGCAACCTATTGCAGACACAATTTAACTCAAAAAATAAATAATTTCCTCAACATTAAATTTCACAATCTCATTATCTGCATTTTATTTTTATTTTGGAGTTCAAATTAATTTTGTCCCATCATCTGTTGTCAGGATGACTTGCATATTTAGTTGTCCAATGTTTTCCTAAAGTTGTTCTTCTTGAGCCATTCAAAGACAGCTATGAAGAGGGGTGGGTCAGGAATACTGACTTGCTAGTGTAAGCAAATAGTTTTTCAGAAGTTCTGTAAGAACTCCAGCAGAAAGGTAACTGTTTATTTCCAGGTTCCTGACCGTATGAAGGATTTGGTTCTCCCTTTACAGCATCATGAATATGCAACTGTACCAATACTCTCCAGCATTTTTCCAAAATTTATTATTCAGCCCCTATCATTCAGAATCTTCACATAACACAAAAAAGGAACTTGGAGGAGGAAAGACTGTATCTACAAGAAAACCTAAAACCTGTCATAAACATAATACAGTATAGTGTATTAGTGCCACTACAGAATACTGAAGCGGGATGGCCAGGAATGCTCATTGACTCTCACCCTCAAATTGCCTAGCCAATCAAAAATCTTTTATGTCCACAGTTACTTTGATGAAAATCATTATCCTGCACTAAAACATAATGACTTTTTGGCATGTAGAAGCGTCATGGTTTAGTCCAGCTGGCAACTAAACCCCAGGCAGCCACTCGCTCACAGTCCCCCACCCCCTGGGGAATGGGGAAGAGAATTAAAAGGAAAAAGAGAAGGCGACTCATGGATTGAGACAAGAACAACTTAATAATAAGATAAACTTAAAAGTAATAGTGGTAAAATACTACTACTACATGAAAAAAATTATATGATAATAACATTTACAAGCAAGCGATGCACAATGTAATTGCTTACCACCCGGTGACCAGCACCTGTCCCATCCCGACAAACGATCCCAAAACAGGTAAATTCTGACACCACAATCCCAGATGAGTGAGAGGCCCAAAGCGAGGGTGAGAGAGCACTCTGAGAGACTAAGTCTTAGAGAGTCCTCAGAAGAGCCTCCCAAACTTCCCTGCTCAACCCTCATCTATATACTGGGCATGATATGGAATACTCTCATTAGAGAATTTGGCCATCAATCCTAAGTCTTAAGTCCAAATCATAGGGAACCCTTTGTCTTCGCCATGCTCCCCCCAGCCTGTTGCGCTCCTGCACACTGGCAAAAACATGGGAAGCTGAAAGGTCCTTGATGTCTCAGCACCAACTATAAACATCAGTGTGCTACCAACATCCTTAACAAATCCTATACTAAATCCAAACCTAGAAGAGCTCTAACTCTGTCCCAGCTGCAATCAGGACCAGAAGCCTTCAAAACAAGGATTTGTCAGTTACAATTTTTACCTTATGAACAGGACGTCATGAATAGAAGTCTATGCATTAACAGCCCACCCTTCTGGTATGTATAAATACCCTTCTGTACACAGTTAATTAATTTTTTTGCCACGTTTCTATGCTATTCCAATGCTGTTAATATTTGGAAATGTTTAATATTTCTGAGAAATATTAACTTAGGTAACAGTAATGTTGTATCTATTTTGTATTCCCAGCATACAAACCTATTCTCCCCCTCCAGTGCTTGTTTATTATTGCAAACAGACTCATTCAAGATAGGAATATTTCATGTTTACCGACAGGCAATATTTATTATGATAACTGAGAACTCTACACACTCTACAGTATTGCACAAAATTATAATGGACCAATCAACAGAGCCAGGTTCCTACGCAAACGTAAACAGCACTTTAACAGAAGCTTAACATGTTGTGCGTCAGGTGTCCGAGTAAAGTGACAATTTAGAGGATTTCATGGGAGCCTGAAAGTGCACACTTTCATTCAAGGCATATAGACAAAACACATGAAAAGGATTGCTATACATGCCAGAGGTCTAAAAAAAACCCCAAACAAATCCCCAGCCACTCCAAAACAAATCAGAACAAGTTAAATGAGTAAGTTGACTCTTAGCAACCACCAGTGTCACCAAATTCGAAGTCTCATCCTCTAGCTATAAGCAGAGAAACGCAATCTAAAGAAATGCCCTTAACTTGGAGTTTTAGACATATTAATGCAGCTATATCATATTAACTGCATTTTTTGTTGTTGTTGCTTGGCAAGACCGAAAGAATTACGGCACTATAAATGCACCTAATCAGTGTATTACCAGTAATTCCTGAATTACTATATAAATTGCGTACAACAGTTGACTGTTGAAGGAAATAGTGTTTTTACATCAAAAGGTGATACAGTATACAACCAAAATTCAAGTATTTATTATCAAACTATAGGTGTAAAAATTCTGACCTTCTGTTCCTGTGCACTACATAAAACAGATCAAGAATTATTTTTTCATTTTTATTCTTCCCTCTACAAATGGCTTGGGAAAAGGTGAGGAGGGAAGAATAAAAACGTGGCTGCAACCCTATGTCTTCAGCACACTACTGTTCCAAAGTTGTTTACAGGCATGTGGGTAACAACTACTATACATATCAACGTGATCTCCAGATTTTCAACACGCAGCCTTAATGCTCTCAGGTCACTCCCATCTCAACACCTTCCTGTCCTTCACTGCAAGATCCCAGTCCCTGTTCTCCCCTACTTTTTTATTTGCACTCATTTCACCAGCTGTTCCAACCAGTTGCCCAGGCAGACACATTCTCTTCTACACAAGTCAGCAGCTTAGCTGCACAATGTCATCTCTGGACAATCAGGGAAACATGGAGATAAAAGGATGGAACAGCATTCTCCCATACCAGATTTTGGGAAGGCCTGGAGAGACATTTACTCTTCTGCCTGAGCACCAGTGGAAGAACTGCTGAAGACTCCGTAAGCTTGAAAACACTGGTTTACAAAACCAAAATTCTGATTAGGAGAAAGCAAGTTAAATTCCAAAGAAAAAACAGCCTTCTATAAACATAATATTGTAATTACTGTCCAGAATCATTTAACACAACTATGAAATACTAGGGTTTTTTAAATTATAAATGCTTTTTCTCCTGTTAAAAAGTTAACCTCAAGACAGGAGTTAAACAGAAGTTATCATAAGCTTTGGTGAAACACTTGAGTTACCTACAGAGCTACAAAACAGATTTCAAGCTGTAACAAAATCAGTAGCAGACCTAACTACAAAAAAAGAAAAAGTCATGAAAAGTCTAAGATTATTTCTCTCTCAAAAAAAGCGTTCACAGCTTTTGGTGCACAGACAGAACACTTTGTGAACATGTGGAACCAGAATCTAGAGGCAGCTTTACCAACTTTGCAATTTAAGTCAAGGTAAGCCACAGAAATGTGAGAAATGAGGCCTGTGTGTATCCTGCTTTAGTACTCCAGTGCCCGAATATGTATCATGTTCTTGAAAATGACTTGCCAAGTACAGCAGACTGTACCTTCAACAAAGAAAGAAACAGAACTAAAATTGGGTTAGCCCATTTTGAACTATTTCTACAAGAAGTGCTACAGTAACCTACCACTATATTAATACATGAACTTCTTTTTGGACCTACCCTGATTTATGGGAAAATAAACCACAAGAAAAACCCATACATATAAAGATGAAATCACCCAAAAACTACAGAAACAAAGCAAGCATCTACATAATCACAGTGAACTCTGAAGCTGAGGACTGCGTGCCTGTGTACAGAAATCCTTATAACCAAACACATACAAATGGCTGGTTCGGTTGTTTTTTTAACTTCCCCCAAATCAAAGCAGAACCCGTAGGCAACGCATTCTTTCAAACAGGTTTGGATGGGGAAGTGTCAGTAGAGTGCACAAAGAAAATGACAAAGGAAAATAACAATGGGATTTTATTTCCTTGGCGTGTGAAAGTACTGTAGGCAACGCATTCTTTCAAACAGATTTGGATGGGGAAGTGTCAGTAGAGTGGACAAAGAAAATGACAAAGGAAAATAACAGTGGGATTTTATTTCCTTGGCGTGTGAAAGTACAGAGATGTTACTACAGCACTTGCTGTTCTTACCTTTCCAATCCCAACTCATCACAAATTACAGCGTAACTACATTAATGGTGGAGTTTAACACGCAATTTACAATTTTGAAATTATTTTTCTTAATGGTAACCACACTTTACGCAGCCTACAAACCTGAAGAAAACGCATTTTGCCTCCAAAAGCCATAACAATAAGTGTTTTCGGGTGTTCACAGTCAAAGAAGCAGTCCTGAGATTTCAGATGTTAAAGCTTTCTCCACATCCACATGTTCCTTTGATGTTTGGATTATTGAAGACAAATTCACTGGACAGTTTGTCTTCTACATAGTCCATTTCAGTTCCTAGAAGGGTCAGCTGTGCCTTCTTCTCAATAAACACTCTAACCCCTTGAAGATGACAAAGAAAAAAAATTACATACAGTAAAAATCACCATTCACTTCAAAATTCTCTTTCAACCAGTAATAAAAAAACGAAGCTAAACATGAAGACTCCCAGCACAATTTGGTTTCCCTGGCCTAACATGGGCACTCCTATCGCTGTTTTTGCTCTACCTATAAAACCTTAGCAACAGCCTAGCACTGTTACTTATGCATGCAAATGAACGTACATATTTTTTGGGGGGGTGAGGATTTAAAAACATGATACTCAGGGAAACAAAACGTAGAACCTGAGAACAAATCTCAGCTTCAACACTCAATTCCCATGCGTTACAGTCAGTAACTTATTTCCTACCATTCTTAAAGTCTGTGCATCCAACAAGATGCCCCAAAACCTTGAAAACCATACATTCCTCTCTCAAAATGACTATTTTTTGCTCTGCCAAAACTATTAGGTCTATGTTAACTATCAGCAATACTGAATCCCTTAATAAGGCAAATGTGTGAACCTTCAATGGCATCACAACCTTTAAGAATTTAGTAGGATTAGTAGGCCATCTTAGGAACTAGAAAGAGCTCCTACACAAAGTACTTTTCTGGAAAGTTACTGAACTTTAAAACTGAAAATCTGACATAAAGGTGCGAGTGGACTACTTTAGCTGTCCACAGATTAGGAAATAATAAAAATAAAAATGTAAAATTGTACCAGTAAACAGCAACAAGAACTTATTAAGGTATATGAGAGATTGCTGGAAAGCTGTTTGATCATAGCAGACATTGAGACAAAACGTGTTACTAACACAAGTCAAGTCTGTGGGCAACTGAATTGAATCTACACATTTTTGGGGCCAATTTGGACAGTAACTGACAGTGAAGGTTAAACCTAAATAAACAGTTTATGGACCCAATTCTCTGAAGTAGTCACTTGCTACCTAAAAGCCAGAAAATCTGTGCTGGGATCCAAAGCCACCAGCTCACTGAGCACAGAGCGATACAGAAGTCAGAGCCTTCACTGGAAATCTGTCTAGAAGCAACCGAATAAAAACCAGAAAGCACACAGGCACACCTGAAGCACTGTCTGGCTTTGGACCTTAAGGTCTCTGACCTGACTGAGGGAAACTGCTTTTATTTTCCTTAAGATTCAAATCAGGAAATGCCCTCTGAAAAACATGTTTCCAGGCCTCTAAATCTAGAGCAGCTCTGAGTCAAGCAGAAGAGGTAACTCCAGAAGCCAGGTGAATTTGTAATCAAGATGCATCTGCAGGATTAGATGGCACATACTCTGGCTCCCTTTATTCATCTGCTGAAGTTCCAACTAATTGTACATTTAAGAGAATAAAGTTTATGAGTGGTCACAGGTATTCTGAAGACAGATGTCAAGATGGGCTCTGCCTAGCAGCATAGCTTCTATAAGAAAATAATTGTGGTATCTCGCTTAGACTCAAATCTTACTTTACCATCAATTACAAGTCATATTCCTGAACGTAATGTAAATGAGTTCAGTAATGTGTAAAAACATGCAAAATCACTCCTACAAAAGGAATTTTAGGAATTTTCAGAAAAAGAACAGAAATCAAAATAAACATTATTTACACTTCTGTAAAAATACATATTTGACAAAAAGACCACTGACAGAATTTTTTATAAAATTGGAAAAACTTATAGAACTGTGCTAATTTTAACTGGGATAGGGTCAGTTTTCTAGCCAGTATGGAGCTGTGTTTTGGATTTGTGCTGGAAACAGTGTTGATAATACAGGGATGTTTCAGTCACTGCTGAGCAGTGCTTATGCAGAGTCAAGGCCTTTTCTGCTTCTCACCCCACCCCACCAGCCAGTAGGCTGGGGGTGCACAAGGAGTGGGGAGAGGACACAGCTGGGACAGCTGACCCCAACTGACCAAAGGGATATTCCATATCGTATGACATCATGCTCAGCAATAAAAGCTGGGGGAAGAAGGAGGAAGGGGAGGACGTTTGGAGAGATGGCATTTGCCTTCCCAAGTAACCGTCACGGGTGATGGAGCCCTGCTTTCCTGGAGATGGCTGAACACCTGCCTGCCAATGAGAAGTGCTGAATGAATTCCTTGGTTTGTTTTGCTTGTACAGGAGGCTTTTGCTTTACCTATTAAACTGCTTTATCTCAACTCACAAGTTTTCTCACTTTTACCCTTCGGATTCTGCCCACTATTCCACAGTGGGAGAGTGAGTGAGGAGCTGTGTGGTGCTTAGCTGCTGACTGAGGTTAAACCACAACAAGAACTTTAGCAACACACCTATCACGGGATGCTTAATGAAATTATCAGGCAGAAAGCTTAAATACCAGCATATGAAAACAATTTTTAAAATACTCTTAAATGAAAACCATAGAACCCCTTGTTACAAAGTAATGTAAAGGTCAGAAGCATAAAAGAGTAAAAAAAAAAAATCACTAATCAATGGAGCATAAAACTAGTTAGAGGAGATAAAGGGGAAAAATCCCTTGCAAATACACTCTTTACTTTGCCAAGCCTTGGTTTAGGTACGCTGATAAAGTATTCCTTTATATATGCATTGTTCTGTATTACTCTCTAAATACCTGCTATTAGCCACCTCCGAAGACATGAACGATGACGAGACTACTCTAGTGGAGTAGTGTTGAATGTAGAGACTGCAAAGCTGCAGATCTCAACTAACTGGTTACTTCAACACAGAAACTAAGGTGACAACGATTCTCCTAACAGAACAGTAGGACCTCTTCCTGTAACTCGTTACTTCACGTAAATTCTAACCTGTTCCTTAGCAAACCTGTAATACATTATTCTTCACCACCACCACCACAGAAGTTTTCTCTGCTGCATCAGAACTCACCATCTTGAACTACTTCTTCATCGGAGTCTCCTTTTGATTTTGTATATTCTAACGTGTAAGAAAGTCCATTGCATCCTCTTGTACGAACACCTACTTTCACGCCTACCTGAAAAAATCCAAACAAATCCAACACCACATTAATGATTTTTTTAAAACCTGGAACACCAAGATAAAAAATATGCAGAACAACGAAATGCTGACATTTATTATTTTCCACTGCCTCAAAGCAGAAATGAACTGGCTTAATGGATTAAGAGGTAACATTTTTTCCCTTTAACAAAACTGACTGCCAAGGTAAAGGCAAACATCAGGTGTTTGCTACTGTGGATCAAGCTCTGAAGTATGTTAAAGTTTTGAAGTAGTAAACTCTTGGTACTCCTGTAGGTGTCCGGTCTCACAAAGACAGTCAAATTTCAAAGAAGGGTATTTTTGTGACTTCAAATTAAAGTTTACTCAGATGCTAATCCAGGCGCTATGTAAAGATTATTGACAGTAACATAATTATGAAGCTGTGAGGCCAAGACAAGGGCAGTTACTAGATTTTCACAAAACTCTTGTAACGATGCCATCAGAGAACTTACTTCAAACCAAAGTTTCGAAAAACGTACTTTGATTTCTCTGTAACCTCTATTGCCAGTCTCACTTAAAAAGCAATCCCCTCCTTAAATCGAGTATGTTTTTTCTCTTATTGTTTCAACCAACCTTAAAAGCCAACCTAGTCAGTAGGTTTGTAACATTCACAGTACCCAGCAAGTCTGACAATAACAGCATCTGTGTAAGTAAAGGACTGAGAAAAGGTTTTACAGAAACAGAAAACTGTTTGTGCACAACAGTCTTTCTAAAGTATCTGTACCACTTTCCAGGCACCAATGTTTCATAACAGAAGAGGCAAATTACATTGTCTATCTTTGTAATCAATGTTATTAAAAAAACGTACCAGAACGTACCACTTGTCATCAAGTGTGATCTCAGACAAACAGCATTTGATCTCTTCAGACTAAATACCTTTCTTTACAAGAACTACTAAAAATAATGGGCTGGAAAACGCAAACACCATTTATAGCAAGGGGATGACTGACCAGCTGAGCTGTAGGCTTAGAGCTTCCTTAGGATGGTTTAAAACATTAGAATAAAGAGTCTAGTTACTTGCAGATGTGCAGGAAGCGAAAGAAACAATAGGTATTGTATGAAAGTTACAAGTGAAAACATTACTCCTGAAAGAATACCTACTGTAAAGAAGAAAATCTAATGCTTCTTTTTATAATAATTAGAAAGCAAGACTCTGATTGAGCTTGTCATCTCTTCTTCTTGGGGAAGAACACACAGTTATTTGGAGAAATGCTGATTACTTTAAAGAAAACGTTTTCTGGCAAACTTACAAAGATTTAGATGCTTTCCAATGGGTATGAATCTATACTTTTATTATTATATACTTCACAATGAGAATTCCTGCAAGAACTTAATTAATAATGTGTTAGTATCAAGAGCTGAAGCTCTCTTTCCACCACTATGCCATACTAAAAGGCTTCATTAAAATGCAGCTCAGAAATATTTTGAAGCTTAAATTTTTTCAACTTGATCTAACCCAAAAGTAACTGTAGAGTGAAACGTCACCAGAGTCTGGTATTTCCTGTATTTCACTTTATAAAGAAACAGAGCTTGATCTATCAAACAAGCTTATGCTTTCCTCTCCAAACAAATAAGATACCAATGCCTCCAGTAAATGCTTCAGTGTTTATTTCAAACTTCCAAGTTAACCACAAATGCTTTGCGAATATGAGCTGTGTTAAAACCTTAGCACAAGCTACAGGGTGGCCCTGTTTATACTTACATGCTCAGGTTTATCTTTAAGAAGCTGTTTTATCTTCTGAACAGCTGATGGGGTCTGAAAAACAAAAAGTACATCCACCGGTTTGAAAGAGGTGTTTTTGGTTTATTTGCAGTGAGTGCTTGCACTTATTAAAGCGTGCAATGTACTCAGTTGTACTATAAAAGACTTCTATTGCAACTCTGTGCACTGCGATTTTCTTAGTTTACATTTGTCTCCTATCTATGAAGCCCACCCCCAGCATCAGCCACCCGTCAGTAGTGACTAGCCTGTGTTCTGCTTGGAACCGATGTCTGACCTGAAGATACACACTCTGCTGTAAAACGGATTGCTGAATCTAACCCACGCAGAACACAACCCCTCTTCGCTCCCTTCCTCACCCACACTGCTGGCAAACAGACAGTTCAAGAACTGCAGCAGTTAGGGTGCTTTGTTGTTCCCTCCCCCTCCCCAAAATCACTACCACAATTCGACTCAGTAGTGCTGCTGTCGTGAAACTTCTGTCACGCACATATAACAGAAAAAAAATCGATCAGGTACAGAAGTGCTGATGGCCTGCTTCTCTCTTCCCACTGAGCTAGAGCGGAACTGTGACCTTACAGCAGATAAATTCACCGTTCGTGAAGATCTAGTCGCCGCAGAAATGCAAGAACACAAAGAAACAGAAAGTTTCCACTGCATGCTTACAAGTTTCTAAGACCACGCAAAAACGAAAAGCATTAGTGACGCGAAGCTCTTACCTGGAGCAGACTGGAACGCGCGACGCAAACTGCAACCGCGTCTACAGCAAAAGCCTTTTTCTAACTAGAGCTGCGAACCTTCGTTTGTTACAGAATCGCTGCTGAATTACCTGCTCTGACAGACGACCGAGCTGCACGCACTGGACCTGCCCCCGCCACCGCAGGGCACTGACCGCGCTTTCC